ATCGTAAATTTTCGTAAGTTTACGCTCGCGTAAAAACTTGCGGAGGTTTACGCCTATTTATTTTTGCTGATGTATATTCTTGAAAAAGTATATCGGATTCTAGGATTTAATCAATCTCTATGAATGGAACTATATATAGCAATGAATACTCAACGACGTGCAAAAGCAAAGAATGCATTCGAAAAAGACTTCTGGAAATTGATGAATAATTCAGTATTTGGAAAAACTATAGAGGATGTAAGAAAGTGAGTGAATATAGATTTGGTTCGTCAGGTAGGTGAAGAACAACGATTACGCAGACTAATTTCAGATCCAGCATTTGTTAGTCGGAAAATTTTCTATGGTGCAAATTTAGTAGCAGTACATCGAAGACAAACCAATGTAAAACTAAATAAGCCAGAATATGTTGGAGCATGTATTCTTGATCTTTTATATATGACTTCTGGTACGGATATCTCAAAAAGAAATATGGAGATCAGGTAAAGCTTTTATATACTGATACAAATTCTTTAATTATAGAAATTGAAACCAAAAACATTTATCAGGACATGATCGATTATTTGATTTTAGTGATTATCCCGAAGACTATTGGGTGATAAAAAATCTTCTAGAAGATCAGTGGATAATTAATGATGAAGGTAAGCGTGTCTTAAAAAATACAAAAGTTATAGGTAAGTGGAAGGACGAAAATAGAGGAGATTGTGTTATTGGCTATACAGGAGTTCGCACAAAATGTTATAGTGTTGTCTGTAAAAATTCACGAAAAAATATGATAAAGGCTAAAGGTCTAAAAAAGTCTCTTATCAAGAAAGAGCTTACCCATAAAATATTCGAGGACTGTATTTTAGAAGAAAAAGAGGATCAGCCACGAACTGCACAATTCCTCTGAAGTTACAGACATCAAATATATAGAATAAAGCAAACAAAGAGAAGTGTTAACCCACTAGATACAAAATTATGGATAGCTCAAGATAATGTAACAATGTACCTATTTGGTAATTGTAAAATTCTGAAAGAATAAACATCCCACTAAATCGTTCTACTTATTGTAATGTATATCTATTTTTTATGATCGATAATAAATAAATATAACAATTAAATAAAAAATCTTAGTTAATAAAATTCACACGTTTGATATATACAATAAATATGCATACATATAACCCACTTGTTGTTCCGAACACTATAGCTGAAATCATTCCAAATCTTCCATTGAAGGCTCTCGACAAATTCTGCTGGATTAATAAAACTTGGTATAAAGAAATTCAATATGAACTTCAGAAAAGATGAAAGATACAGGCGTTTGAATTCTATAAATTAGAACTTGAAGAAAAAAAAAAAAATAAAAGAAGCGCAAAAGAGATATTCAGATAATGGAGAATTTCAAGGATATATGGATCAATATTTATGGGAAATATATCATGAAAAGTTATTTGAGACTGCTAAAAAACAAGTAGAGATTGAAAGATATATGCTTATCAATGGAATGCTTTATAGTCAAGAAAAAGAAATTGTTAAATATAATATACAAGAGATAACTAACAGAGAAATTCTCTGGGGACAAATTTTAGATAGTTTAGATTTAGATTATTGCTATATTGATGATAATGATATTCCAGAACTGCTTGTATAGAATAGAGTTTATCGTAATACCTGAATTGAAATATGTTACATTATAATGATCCTCGAGGGAGTGATGACATGTGTATAATTTTTTGTTTAAAGAATTTTATTTGTCAAATATAGGGAAAGAAAATAGAACGAGCATGAAAAATTTACAACCTTTTTGATGCCATTGGTGAGGATAAAATAGTACAAGTTAGATCTTTTACAGTATTAACAATTTCTAAGTTAAGTAAGAAAAATATCACTCATATAATACTTAGCATTATAAATAAATCAAAATGATCGGCTATTACTGCGCCATTATCACGTGATAATGTGATCTCGAGGTCATAGTCTATATTACTTTTTTTTCATGAATTTAGATTTTCTTGCATTTTATAAACACCCTGCCCACATTCAAGTTTGGCCCTTTAACGCCTCCTGATCTCATTGAAGTGGTTATAAATCATCTTACACAGAACAACGTTGCTAGTAGACAGATTTTGCTCGGAGCCTTCTAGATTTAAGTATGCGAGATAATTTGCAGTGGTATTTCGATCTAGAGTTGTCTAGATCAATAGTCCGGAGCAGTGATTGCTAGCTGTTCACCGTTTTTCTAATGCTATTCTTGAGATCACAATTGAGTGATATATTAAATAAAAAGTTTTAGTTAATAAAACCCACATGTTTGATATATACAATATAACATGCATATATTCAACCCACTTATACTTCCGGATACCATCGCTAAAATCATCCAAAAAATGTCATTAGAAGATCTAAATAACTGTATTTATATTAATCACATATGGTATAAAGAAATTTGTCATGAACTTTATAAGAGGCGAAAATACTTTAATATGAAATACTATAATTTATTAGAGAAACTAGACAGATGCTATAGAGAATCAGATATAAATGATAATGAAATTGAGCCCATATATAATAATGTATTGACAATATTTGATGAGCTCGTAAAAGTAGAAAGGTATTTATTAAATAATAATATAATCTTTAGTAAAAGAATTAGAAATACAATATTGTCAAATATTGAAAACTATAATTATGGAAACCCTCTAGATTTATATAATTTTGGAGAAGATACATTCAAATATATAAAATATTTAATGTAGGGAGAAGAAAGCCAACTTACCCATCTGCCATATATATTTTTTCAGTTGGCTATTTGATCAACTTCGCATTCAAACACATGCTTCGATTATGGATAATAAAAATGTATTACGTAAAAATCAGTTAGTCCAGATTGTGATTACAAAATTAAATCATATCATGTTATAATGGGCCTCGGGAACGATGTCATGTGTAAATCCAACATAAGCAAATCTTAGTCTGGGTCATGATCTATTAAATCACATGTGGTAGCGATATTATGTATGTCTTGGATGAATCGATCAATCGCCATAAAATAATACCCGAACTTATCATGTTTTTGCTCAAACTTTCTAGCATATTCTCAATAGCATATAGGTAGTATTTGGCCTATATATTGAAGTTACTATAGAAGTTTCTGTAATATAAGGGATGATATGTTAGTCTTGCTACTTCTACTAATAAAATGGAATAATTTTGTTAATAATCGATGATATGCAATTTACCTCTAAATATAATTGGAGTAGTAAAATTAAATTCAGCATCTAACCAAAATCGAGTAATATTACACAAGTTAGGTTCTAGATATCGTGTATATTAATCGAGGTCTTGATATGACAGTTATCATTATAATTGTAATAATTCACCATATTTACTAGATTTTATAAATGACACTTACCTTGATTTAAGTTACCCAGACCACATATTGTTAAGTTTTTAGATCCATGTCTTCATTCTCAAAATTAGAATTTATGCCCATATTGCAATAATAATGTAATTAATATTTTTTTCCAGTATGTTCTGGCCTTTACCAACAAAGAGATTGAATCAGATTTATTGCAAAGCAATGTCACTTATGTGTCTAGGTCGTAAAATCTTATATAAAAGGGATCTAAAAATTTTTAGTCAATCCTTCTACGCTCTTATTAGTAATATCTGTAAAAATAAAAATAATTAAAACATTTAATAAACTTTCACATCTTGTATCTTAACTTTGCCAAGATAATAAAAATAATTTCTAAGCATAATAGTCTTGCTAAAAACGACAAAATAAACCTCATTTATTTCACCTGTTTCACACGAATTAAGGTTGATTTCGAGTTGCATATTTGCTAGATTACTCCACACTCATATCTATACTAATGATCTTTTTTTCCGTTAATAGATGTCTTCGATCAATATTTCAGAAATTGCACTATTTTTAGTCTTTGTGTGCCTAATGTTATTCACCAAGAAAATCTCAGTTTATCTAATTTTCGTTGCCACGTGCTTCGCTATATATATCGTCAAACAACAACTTACCATGAAATTCAATGCACGTGTTGAAAGATTAACTGCAGATATTACATCACGAGATGCTACATTTGTTGTTGAGGGACAGAGAATTGTGGCAATGGTAAATACTGTAATCGAAACTATTAATGAAATCACAACCAATTATGATTCTCTCCGTGATCAGTTGAATCATTTAACTGAAACAGGTTCTGTGGCACTATTAATATCTGAACAATTTGCTGGCCCATCTATACCTACGTCTAATTCTCCCCGAAGATTTTTTAGTTCTTCTTCCAGATCTTCTGGTTCTTCTCTAGGTTCTTTCAGTGGCTCAAGCCAATTATCTTTTTCTAATATTACCTCAACAACCAGAAATCACTTTAAAATTCTTTTTGATAAGATTATGACAGACAATAATTATTCTTTAGATGATATATATAATATAGTGTCTGTTGAGATTCGTAGTTTTGGGATGGGAAAGATTAGTAAGGAAACTATAAAAAATTTTTATTATAATAATGGTGATTTTAGAGGCAGTACTTTAAATAAAATAGGTGCTTGGATAGATAGTAAAAATAATTTTAACTTAGCAGATAATACGGAGTAGCAGGAAGGAACTCTCATTTTATGGGTTAGGGCTCGAGTGATTCCTCCCTTTAAATGTCCGCTACTCTTGAGTTTTTTACTTAGCTCGCCCTAGCCCATTTTCATTCTTATAATAAAGTTATATTCTATTATTACTTGATTTTTAAATGTGTCCGGTCGTAAATTCGAAGCGAAACTTCATTGCTATACAATCAAAATTAAAAGTTATTATGATCTTTCAGTTTGAGGTCCGTGTAGTACATATCATCAATACTATCTTACGGCTTATGCATAATTTATATAATTTATTTAAGACACATATTGTACAACCTCTATAAGGTGCACGTATAATTTGTTTGTAAATTGATCATAAACATAACTGCCACACATTACAGGTTTGTATAATAAAAAATTTTTTAGCCACGTATATATTATTTTTTCTGTAATATATAATAATAAAAAATCCAAATAGCGATAATACAATTAACAAATAAAAAAAGACACAATTATATCAAAAAGTGGCATATCTTCAGAGGTTGGAAGCGCGAGTGTAAGGTTTGTGATGAATGCAATCACCATTCACATCTGTATTGCAAAACATGCAAAAAAGTAGCGGATGGAATATATAGGCAATGTGAATGTGATAATTTTAAAAGAACCTTGAATAATTAAAATAAATCCGAATTAGCAATTTGGTAATGATAATAATATTAAAGCTGGCCCTGGTGGCTTGCGCATATAATTAATTGTGTTTACTTTGCATGTGTATTTCGTGGATTTATTTTATTGTATTGATATCTTTATAGATGATTTTTTGGCGACAGCTCGTCGCTGAAATTTCTCGTGTAATGTGAATGTTAGCTGTCATGTGATATATACTATAAGGGTTGTAGGCTACACAAAGTTTTCTAACTACTACAGTCTTCAGCAGAGACAGTGCCCTTTATGTAGATCTTCGTTTAACATTACACAATTATTAAAAAATTTTTTTTATATAATTTTAAAGTATTTCTAACATCTTGTATTACTCGATTACGGTTTAGCTAAGCGCCAATAAGTTACTAAGTAAACTTGAAGCTTTCATTACGTAGAAAACAATATCCATTGAATCCCTCTGAATCCCAAAGCGTTAGTTTTTTATTCAAGATGGCAGATGCTAAGAAGTGCTTCGAATGTAAGGAGACTACTTCGAAAAAATTTCGACAGTTAGGTGACGAAAAGTGGCAAGAAATTCAAATTAAAGGTTTGGTAAGAGAAAACTGGAGTAAAGGCATGGTGCTCTGTAACTCTTGTTATATGAAATATGTTAAAAATCCTCTTAGAAGGAAAAAAAGTTTTACTAACAAAGAAATTTTAGAAAAAACTGAGATAGGTATTGTGGAAAAGGACAGATAATAATTTTGAGCTCGTTGATGCCATAAGATCTATGGCCAAAATTCTTTATAAGAGAGAAGTTATAGAAAAGCAAAAGTCTGTTTATAATTTTGATGAATTACGAGAGTTACTTGAAAAGCAAGACTCTAACTTAAATTATTTCTTTAATCAATTATATTTAGCAGCACGTCCGTCAGAGCATAATGACCAAACTATAGAGCGTATGAAAAGAATTATGGTGTTCATTTGTTATCTTCTTGCTTCATTAAATAATACAAATATTAATGCTTTTAAGTCAGATTTTGCATTTTATTTAGATTCAGCAGGAACAAGTAACGAGGGTTTAAATACTATGGCAAAGGTCGGTATATCTACGATGGCAAGGACGGTAAATCGTAAAAAAAAGAAGATATCAGAAACACATGAAGAATGTGTTAAAGATGATCCTATAGAGCATTTTAACAATGCTCTTATACTTAATATTGACGATTACCATAACGTTCACGTCCCTCATAAACCTTATACTACGGCTACATCTTCACCAACTCATATGGCAACAATATTAGCAAATCCGTGCTTAACGTCGGCTATACCGCGTAATCAAGTACTAAATCCTAAAGTCATTGATGGAGAATTAATTGTAAAAAATATAGATAAGCGTTTTATTATAAATCTCGGTGTTCC